TGCATCGTTCATCACTGTTATCATAGAAATTCCGTTATTATCATCGTAACGACTGTTATCAGTGCGACGATAACTATGTTACAGCCGTGTTGGTGATAACGGTAACAAACTCTCTGGCGACGAAGGGGAATATAATTATGGACATAACAAAAATAGAAAAAAATGAAAACTGCATCGGTACTTATCACCATTGGCATCATTTTCATTGTCGTCATTCCTACACATTGAATTTTCTATGCTTTATTTGTAAATGACGATAAGAAACGGCAAAAAATAATTCTACGCAGCGTGTGTGTCAAATGTATTAATAAATTTTTAACATGAAATTTTCATCACTTATCACTACTGTAATCACCACTTTATCAAAATTTAAAAAACTGACAATGTAAACAGCGATAATCATGACTAAGTGCCACGGACATAATTCCACCAGTTTTTTATGTGAGGAAAGTGACAGCGATAAAGGTATAACAAGCAACAAAAAACAGGAATAGTTACCATTTTCGTTACTGTCATGCCATGTCTTTCTGTAATGTTCTTCACCTTCATCACCAACATCAGTGTTCCCCTTATCAGTAGGATTACTTAGCGATCAGCACAACAATTAAGAATAGGCAGTCGTTATCACATTGATAAGGGAGGAAACAAAATGGGAATAACAACGGGCCTACGTATCATTCACCATTATATCACCATAATGATTCGATTCGTTATCTTCGCAATATCGAGTCAGGGTGATCATCACAAAGATTGAAGTCACAACTGCTCGCTGTTCGTGATAACGACTGCAATCGGGCTAACGATGAAAAACTTAAAGATGGAGATCACTGCCACCACAGAAAAATTTATTTCGAAGATGATGATTGCCATCAGCACTGTGTACAATAATGCTTATGGCACTGATGATTACTTTGACTACTACCATAGTCGTTGCCTGAGTATTCTATCGGTGCGTTGACAAACACCATTCGATAATCGATGATTACCGCTTCATAATAAAGCCGCTTTATAAAGTTCTGCCATTATTATCACAAAAGACATTTATCAATCGTTATCACAATCGAAAGGTTAGTTGAACATCATTCGTAAGAAACGACACCAAGACGAATGCTATTACGATTATCATCAGTGTCCTGCTACAATCGTCGGTTGAATGATCATTATCAACATGATAATCATGATATAACGTTCTGCCAGAAAATGATATTAAGCAAGCTGGTGACGAAAGTGATCATTGTAAATGTGCAAATAGCAAACTGGGAACAGCAGAGATATCGTTATCTACTTGATCACATGCATCATGATTTTATCACAAACGTAACTATATTCGTTACCACTATAACAATTCAAACGAAGTAATAGGAATTTATGCATATAAAAACAATCCCCATGTGTCAGAGTTTCTATCTTATAGCAGCAACCATAATATTTCAGTTTCTGATACCAGATTTATACGGCTTAAAACTTATTCGATTTATTTAGCATCGCATTTTGCAACTAATCGCCAAAGGGGACTATTTAAGAACGCCACGGGAGAACGATATTTGAGCGTCTGCAGTCCACTGAATCCACTGTAAGCTGGAATGAACAGGGATGCACTAGAGCAATAAATATATACAGT